AAAATTAATGCTAATTAAACTGAAAATAGTTCACGTTTATTTTATCAAAATTTAACATATATTTTTCAACCTGAATTCCTTCATAAAGTTCAATTACTTTATAAATTTAAAACAACAATGTTGAGTGTTACTTGACGTCAATAAGAACTATCAAAACAACCATTTCATGCCATAGCAAAACCCTACAAAGTAGAAGACCCCTGTTGTATTACTACAAAAATGAAAATTAGTATTTATGATATTAATCGAAAATCTTATGATACTGTACCAAACCAAATAGGTAAAAGCACCAAATTTATATATGTAATAAAAAGGGAAACATTTTCTTAAAATCAAAATCCAGATAAAACTACTACTGTTTATCACAAATACCAAAATAGACATGCGGTATAAAATGGAACGAGTGAAAACATGAAACTTATCTAAAAAGGTATAAAAGAAACTGAAAGTTTCAATGGATTAAAAAAATTTATAAAAAGTAGAAATAATTTATAATTCATGTATTTCATTTGATTAACAACTTCAAGTAAATTAATTTATTTTACTCACTGGTAATAATAAATGTAGAATAAACATTGAGAAAAATGAGAAATAATGACAATTGCATCATAAATCTTTGAAATTAAACAAGCTTATTACTTTCAACAATAATAATAAATAGTCACTTTAATATAATTTACACTGAGAAGTTTAAACTAAANCAGTTCAACGCAGATTCGGAATAAGAACCTTCTTGCTTTCAAACTTCTCTTATTTTCGTTTTTATTCTAAGTGTTTTAGTCATCTTAATCTTTGTTGTGCGGTTCTCGCAGATAGCCGGTTCCTCTGGAAACTTAGGGTTTTTCCCGAAGTTTCCTTATTTACGATTTATTTGACAGTAGGGTGAAATCGACTCCCACAACTCAAAGGTACCTCTTTTTGATTGAGCTTTTATAGTTTTTCCACTGATACTTTGTATTAGTTTTACTTCTGTTATATGAGTGTGTCTAACCACTCCAAAGCATATTAGAGTGGTGTTTGTTAGCTTAAAATGTCTGTTTTGTTCAATCTGTTTTACATAACTTTGTTTTAGTTGTGTTCATTCAATACCAAGTTAGTAAAGGCTACTGTGTCTTTTTTTTCCTTCAGACAAGCGGCATCCCAGTTTTAGGAACACCAGAAAAGGCTTCCGCCACCTAAATCTAGCAGCCAACAACGGTTCTTTATCTTTACGTTTTTGCCAATCTTTGCACAGGTAAGCTTGAAAAGGGAAGATACATATGGACGGCCAGAATTGGCGCACCAACATGGCTGAAGTGAACAAGTGCTGGAGGAAAATAAGGTGGCCTTTCCTTGAATACTACCTGGCGCACGATGTATACGGATGCAATTTGTTGCTAATCATGCCCCAAAAAGTTAACCGTACGAATGAACTCTCTGAGAGATGTCCGAAATCTTTTTATTACAAAAAGCTGAGAAATTCAACTGTTTAGTTATTTGACAATGACTCTTGCATTTCTTAACCTTTTTTAAGTTTTTAAATTACAATCACAGCTCTATTTTACGAAGAGTTGCATGCTTTGGTTTTTTTAAAAAAAAATTCACTTCCGACCCTCTTCAGTTAATAAAATATATACCACAAATTGCTTTAAAAACAACCGTACAAGTACACAGCAACTGCAGAAAAATAATATATAATCCACAGATTGCTTGGCAAACAAGATATTAATGTCTGGCTACTATAAAACCGTCACGCAAGCAGTCACACATATGTTTAAATCATGTTATAATAAAATATTGACAATAGAAAACAACTATATACTCTCTACATACAACAATGAAATAAGTTTTAGCTATTTATTATTAACAAAATAATTAAAATTAATGCTAATTAAACTGAAAATAGTTCACGTTTATTTTATCAAAATTTAACATATATTTTTCAACCTGAATTCCTTCATAAAGTTCAATTACTTTATAAATTTAAAACAACAATGTTGAGTGTTACTTGACGTCAATAAGAACTATCAAAACAACCATTTCATGCCATAGCAAAACCCTACAAAGTAGAAGACC